TCATGAACCCTTGATAATTTATAAATTATTATTATTTTGTCATGTCTTACACTGTATGACGGCTTCCTTCACCCGCTTTTCTGTTGTCCACCCTTTGACTTCTTCTTTGAAAGATTGCAACCTCAGACCGGTTCCTTCATTATTCACCCTTCAAATAAAACATTTGATGTGTGTTCATTTGATGTCTTTGTGCACCATGGTTTTACTTTCGGACAAAATGTTCTTAGACAACTGACTTCATCTTCCCCACGACGTTCTTCCTCTCTGCGATTTAGCTTTCTACACATCTCCTGTATCCTGTTTGTTTCTAGCTCACCTGTCACCACCAGTGTCCTGAATGAGCTGCCAGCCTCTCTTCCCACCCACACTACATCCAGAGGGCTATCATTACCACTCAAACTAATATGCTCGCTTTCCCCTGCTTACCTTCCTCCGAGGGCTTTCCGTTGCCTTCAGAAGAAAGGCAAGACTCCTTACTCTGTCCTGCCAGCCTCTGGGCAACCAGATCCCACCCCATCCCACTGCCTGGCTGCATTGCTACACCTTCCTCTAGGCTGAGCCCTCAGTCCCTCTGCAGTGAGACTTTCCTGGCCTCAGGGTTTTCTCGGGAGCTAGTTTCTCTGCTGGGAATATTCTTCCTTCCTGTGTTAAAGTATTACTCAGATCTTGGCTCAAACGGTAATTGTCTGTAGACACTTTCCCTGGCCTGCCTGATGGGACGGGCCCCACCTTTCCAATATAATTTCATGACACATTTTACTTCTTCATAGCAATTATTTCATTACCTAATTATTTAGCTATGTAGTTTGAGGCGGGAATGTCTGTGTATCTGACTGTTCTATCATGACCTAGGACAGATGGATGGATAAGTGGATAGAAGGTGGAGGAGGATTGATAGATGTCTGATGGACAGATGGAAGATGGGTGAATATGAATGAATGAATGGGCGGATAGACATGCGGATGGAGGGGGCTGATAGGATGAGCAGGCAGAGTATGGATGGGCAACAGATGCATGAATGGCTACCGGATAAGTTGGTGGGTGGATGGAATAGACAAATTATGGATGGGTGATGGATGAACAGATAGATGATGGATGGACGGAGGGTGGGTGGGAGTAGATCGTGGATGAATGACGATGAAGAGGCTGGTTTCCTCTAGCTGACTGGTCAGCATAGCGCTCTTCTTTTTATCCTCAGTGATCAAGGCATTGTCCCTTCCCGAGGGTCGCTTTCCCCCCTTGAGACCTGGACAGTGCAACGGACCCCGAGGGCCATTTCCTATCCTCTGCGCCTAAGCGCACCTGTATCCGCACACAGTGGGCCGCTCCATGTATAAAATTATCTTCTTTTCAGGCCTGGATTGCAAGCTTGCACCCTGGTCGAGCTCCACGCCGTCCCCCTCGGGGCCCTGCTGGCGCCACGTGGGCGAAGGAGGCGGTGAGCGCCGCGAAGTCTGGGGTTCCCTCGCAGCACAGCAAGGCTGAGCTTCCAGCTCCACACTCGGGGGGGCGGGGCGCCCGGCGCAGAGGGCGGGGCATCTTAGGCCGGGGGCGGGGCCGCGCCCCAGGAGCCGGATGCGTCCCCGCCCCCGCCGCCGCGGAACCGGAAGTGGAGCGGGGCCTGGGAGCTGCGGGCACGGCGGAGACGGGCCGACCCCGGGGTGAGCGCTCCGCTGCCGGCTCGGGACGGGACAGCGGGGCGCGGGGGCGCTTGCGGTCAGCGCTCCCCTTCGGGGCTCCCACAGCCCCGAAACGGG